TAGTAATATGTAGCTTACCACTTTCTAGTGGTTAAATAAGCTACTAGCCACCAGTAAAGGAATTTTCTGCATTCTTGATTACAGAAGAAATGTTACGCATTCTTGGTTAAAGTGGAACCCCTTTAATATTATTAGGTGTCACTCCCTGCATCCCTTACTACTAGCCACTAAGACATGAATAAATAACAACAACAACAACAACAAAAGAGAATATCCTGCTAATCCATCACTAATCAGGACAAGTAAAATCATCTCTAGTTTATCAGGGGTTCAAATTGCTTATACCATACTTCCTCTCCTCTTCCTGTCATTTCCTGCCTAATTGTCTATAACAGTGAATGTCAGTGGAGTCAGGGAGCAGTTGATTCCAGGGCAATTCAAGAGGACGTCTGCTATGCAGTTATAGGAGGCTGAATGGAAAGGTCATGAAGTGGAATTTTTAATAAAATGATGTAATCATGGACGTTTAAATATTAGAGTGAGGTTATGTGTTCTGTTCATTATGTAGATAGCGTGAGGACTTATACATCTGCCATTGGGTGAAACATAATATTTATTGTTTGGAGTCGTACTTTGATTTACATTGAAGGCGTTTTTTTTTCTGTGTATGCTCCCTCATTTAACAATTAATGTTTTGTCATGTGTTTGGCTAGTAGTGCTGAGTGTTGATATCAGCGTGTGGGCATCAGCCATCTATCAGAACACACAGGGCTATTCACTAAAGGGTGAAGAGTTTGGAGAAGGCAGGAGAAGTAAACAATTTAGGCCAAAATAGCTGATTTGGAAAAATTCTCCATTTCAGCTCACTTTCCAGTTCAGCTATTTTGTCCTAGATTGTTCACTTCTCCTGCCTTCTCCAGACTCTTCACCCTTTTGTGGATAGCCCTTACAGTGTTTGTGCTGGGTGAAAAAAAGAAGCAGTAAAACTTCTCCTGTCTATTATTACTGAAGATTTCAACTTTCACTAGTTTTAAGTTTAAGGGAAAGGAGTAGGTTATGGATGCAAACAGGCCTGGGGGATTTTTATGATCATCAATTGGGGTTTTGCAAGTGCTCATCTTTTGTGGGTAGGGATCATGGGTAGTTATCAGTTTGTGCTCTGAGTTGAAGGTACTCATCTATACTGCCTGTTTATCAGCATACATGTCAACAACAAAGCTGACAATACACTGCTCAAATTTCATTCCTTTTGTCAAAGGAATCGGGATGAATATTGTTGGGCGAACAGTGGCTGCAACCATTCAGCTGTCAGAATACAATAGCCTGGCAGGGGAGATATTCCTATCCACTCTGTTTAGTGTGGGTGGGGGAATTTAACTTTCTGTTCTCTTTTATGCCTATGGGGCTGAAACAAAAAAGTGTACGGCTAACTTTAGAGTTTAGGAAGAGAGAGAGACTGCCTTGTAATAGAAAGACATCCCTGGAGTCAGACTGCCTTATAATAGAGAGACATCCCTGGAGTCAGACTGCCTTATAATAGAGAGACATCCCTGGAGTCAGACTGCCTTATAATAGAGAGACATCCCTGGAGTCAGACTGCCTTATAATAGAGAGACATCCCTAGAGTCAGACTGCCTTTTTAGTGGCCTGCATGGTAGAGTTTCCATAATTGGGTTGATGAAACATCATCCAGGAGGAACCAATTCAACTTTAAAGGGAGGAGGAAACTTTAAAGTACAGGAAGGGCAAAACTCCACTAGAGTTTGGGAAGAGTGAAGTTTCCCCTCCAAGCCATCCCTGCATTTGTCATACTTGAAAAAAACTGCCTTACTCTAGGCACTGCAAAAGTTAACCACTCGTTTTCATCTGGGGACTAAAAAACCTGAACCTCGGAGGTGGCTGGCTGTTATAGTGCCCCCTCCAGCCTGTCTCCACCGCCGCTGCAGCGAGGGCATGTCCCTTTGCGTCTTCATGTCCTTTACACATGATGATTCCAGGATCCTTACACCGCTGCAGCAGAGGTAGAGCGAGACTGAAAGGGCCGCTCTAAGACCAAGCTGGCTCTGAGGATCAGGTGAGTATAACTTTTTTATGGCATCACCTAGGTGAAAACAAGCACTTAACCTTTACAGTGCAGGGGTAGCCCCACTGCATGTGTTAAGAACACTTTTGCCTAGAGATCTTCTTTAAGCTGGAAATACAGGCTGAACAAAAAAATTATATCAGATTCCTCCATCCTCACTAAGCCACGTGGATGGACGAATCTCCTGCTATGTCCCTTGAATTCTGACAGAAGCAGGTGTGCCGCTGTCAGAATACCCAAACAGTGACAGCAGCTAATTGCTCTCACCTTTTGCCAGACAATTTTCCATGCGGCTCCTTCAATTTTCTGTTTGAAGGATGCCAGACAGAAGGGTGCCCACAAGGCCACCCACTGTGCGAATTTCGCCCGGTTCATCAAGAACCAGCCAGAATACCTACAGTGTATGGCCAGCTTCAGTCCTTCAGTGGGTGGGGCAATGATGCACCTTAGAACCTTCACTTCTCCCGCTCTGTTTTAAAGAGGAACTGTAGATACACCAGTATACGTTTGTAATAGATCAGCATTTCTCAACCTTTTTTTATTTACGGCACCCTTTAAAAGTATGTAAAATCTTGAGGCACCCCAGTATAAAATGTAATTGGTTTTAAGAGGATACCCCACGAAAAACACAAAGTGAGGTTCCCCCTTCACTTTGAAGTCCCCCTTTCACATTAGGAGGCCTGTTCACATCAGAGTCCCCTCTTTCACATTAGAGCCCCTCTTTACATTAGGAGCCCTGGACGTCAGAAGCTTTCCATCACATCAGAGTTCTTCCTTTTCATCAGAGCCTTGTTTTCTTGTTAGAACACCCCCCACATTCACATCAGAGCCCCACTTTCATATCAGAGTTCTCCTCTCACATCAGAGCCCCACGTTCATATCAGAGTTCTTCCCTCGCTTCAGAGTTTCCCCTTCACATCAGAGCCCCACTTTCATTTAAGAGTTCTCCCCTCACTTCAGAGTTCTTCCTTCACATCAGAGCCCTGCTTTGATACCAGAATCCCCCCTTTATATCAGAGTTCTCCCTTCCCATCAGAGCCCCACTTTCATATCAGAGTTATCCCCTCGCTTCAGAATTCCCCCTTTCATATCAGAAGCCCCCTTCACGGAGGCAATCTTCCATTCTTTTCTGTATGGACCCCACCCTTACTGGACTAGTTAAATGTATTACCATGGCACCATGGAAAGGCATAACGCTGTATGACACTTTTTAGGCATCCCAGGGTGCCACACACCCTGGTTGAGAAAGGCTGCAATATATAGCTCATAAAATGAGATCATTCACATTTTCCAGCTTCTTACAAGAAAAAAAAAAGCTGTGTCCTATTTTTTTATTTGACATGTCCCATTTTGTCAGGAATAAGCACAGGGAAAACAATTATTTTTTAATTGTGATTGGTCCAGAGAAGTTATATATAATGATTTTTCAACTACGTCCAGAGGGAGGCTGGGGATGCTAATGCCCAAAATGTTAGTTGTATTCTGCTGGGTGCTAATGCCAGCCATGAGCTACTCCCACTCAAAAACCAATTTTCGGATAGTGTATAGTCAAAAGAGTCTCCGCCTTTCTCTCTCCTCATTCATTCACAAAAAGTGTTTCAGTTGCTGTCCAATTCTGCTTGTCTGCCACCCACATACGATACTGTTTTAACACCTATCTCTGGGCAGCCTAATAACACCTGCTAGCTCCAATCATATAAATGCAATAAACACCTTAACTCCATGAAGTCCTTGACCCCATGCTTATGATTAACAGATTATGTGGATTGGAGCAACATTCACCATATTTATTCTCTGAAAAAATTTTGTACAAGTAAATTGAATTGAATTGAGAAAGTAAGTTGGATGACCAGCTAAACATCTTTAAAAAAATACAGCAAGCCCAGTTGCCTTGATTTATTTTCTACAACTATACCATGACCTAGATGAATGAGAACCTTCTCAGATATATGGTACACACAATTGAAAATAGGTATTTCTTCCTTTATATTGTAGTACTTAATTTTAAATGATTTTTTATTAAATACTTTTGCTGCTTCAAAATGACCCCTAGAATAAAGTTTACCATATGTGATTGCCATTTTTTGGTATTGTCAATTGTATGTGCGTGCTACACCACAACCCAGGAAATGTAGCTTTTCTAATTTATTTCTATGTAAATTGTTGATAAGATTTTTAAATAGAAAGCAAAAATAATGCCATTCTAATTGTGTGTTATCGGTAATCCTCTCCATCACCATCCCTTGCGCCATATTTTCTTTATTCTGTTCAATGACTTCCTCATTTTAAGCTTTTATACTCTATTTTTACAGTATGTGTCTGCATTATGAGCAATGCTGCTGGGTGATTTTAATTTTAATGGCATGTGTCAGGCTGACATCAACACATTTGCAGTTAGTTAATTTATGCTGTGTGAGGCTTTCATTATGTTAATCTATTCTATTCTCAAACCATATGTGCTATGATCTTTCCATAGGGCTCCAATCCACTCGAATGCCAACTGTTTTGATTAGACAAAACGCGTTTTTAATTTGAGGGAGAATCATGCTCAACTTCCAGCAAGGCATTGAGCAGAAAAATATTATCTGTAATAACTAAAATGTTTTTCTAATGTCACTAGCAGTGACATTAGGAGGATGAGAACTGTACTGTGCAAAGTTGCTGCAGAATAAATTATGTTGTCACCCTGTTAGGGTAGTGGAAAAATAACAGATCTGCTGGAAGGATCAACAAGTAATAAAACTGGCCTAGAGGGGGGATTTAGAAAAACAAAAACTACAGTGCCTTTGCCACTCTAACAGACTGCATTATATATGCCATTTTGATATTGCTTATAGTTCTTCTTTATTGTAAGGTAATTCCAATACCCTCGATCAGATGGTTTTCTGACAGTAAACAAGTTAAAAAAGAACTAACAAAAATGTGTATTTCAGTATTTTGTTCCCCATTCAATCTGTGACTCTGTTTACCTCCTTAGTACATAGTGATGTTTGTCATGAAAGTGGTAACAGGCCAAGTGAAAGAAGTGAATGATGTCCGGGAATATGATATCTCTGAAAACCAGAAAGCAGAAGTCTCCAATGCTTTTAAAGATTTTTCACACAAGAACACATCGGATAGCAAGTAAGTGCAACGTGTGTCTGTAATACTGAATAAATGGGCAATTCTGAAGGTACCATGTTGCAGACAGCTTTGAAAGTGTACATTGAAAATGTTTTTAACGTTCTCATGCAATAATACAAATGAAAACATGGACAGGTCAGACATCCAGGGCCTGGTGCCCGGATAGACAAATGAGTATTAGTTACCATGTTACATTTAACATAATTCTATATAGAAGAGGACAATGTCAGATGCTGCTGTACAGCTCCTGTAAACATATTGTTAATCATTAGTACAGAGTACAACATATGTTAAGAGAGTATACTGTATAACTTTCAAGTTTGCAGGGCTCCCAGAGTTGAAACCCGTCTTGAGTGTAATAGTGCTCCCAAAACCCAAAAAGCATATGTAAATGCACTTCCCTCAAATTAGATCCTCACTCACCGCAAAAAAAATCAAACATTATTTAGAAGGAAGAGTATTGCCAATCAGGGGAGGACTGGGAACCTTTGGCTTGGGGACCAACACCACAACCACCTTGCCCTTTCATGGTAGGAACAGATTTTTTTGTGGCTATGGCTGTGGCTGCAGTGATTGGAGGGCCTGGTGATATGTGGTTTTATTTGAGATACCTACACATCTTCCAGAATCAGCTTCCTTTGTAGCTTTGGGCATTTGGTCACATGACATCACAGAGTCACAAAGAAGATCAATGATGGAAGACTGGAAGGTCTGAAGGGGGAGCAGTCAACTATATGTAGCAAGAATATGAGGGACCCCAGAGGAAGGG